TTCATTCTGTAAACTGAAATTCCAGAAATTAATGTTAAGTTAGGCACTGTGACTCAAAGTGGGTAAGATGGCTATCCATTATAGTTGTATGAGAAGCCGGTGGTGCCAGAAGACACTGCTTTGGTTAATTTTGACATTGTCAAGACATTATAATATTGTATTGACAAGTGTCATATGTTGCCATCTTTCATGGAGTTAGTTCCATATAAATGGAACTATGTGCCAAAAAAACATTGTTATATATGGACAAAATATGGCATTATTAGTTTTGTGTTTGCCATCCTAAAGGAGTTCGTATAAAAAAATGACACTATGTGCCAATACTTTTACATGGAAAAACATGTTATTACTAGTATATTTATATTTGCAAAGGAATAATATTTTCATCTTAATACCATAAAAATTAGCTTAGAATAGCAATTAAGACTTTTTTAGATTCAATTCACAAAATAATCTGAAAAATTACAAAAATATTGTTTGAAAATGAATCTAAAAAATTATATTCTGTATTTATAAAATATAAAATAAATATTAAAAGAACAAAAGCTAAACAAAATTGAAACAGAGAACAAAAAAGCAATAAACAAATCCGATAATAAAAATCTGAAATGAAATAGATCTAGAAAGAAAGAATATTAAATCTCCCACAAAAAATGAAAGAATATTAAATCAAAAACTTGCTTGTTGTAATCAAGCTGCAGGGCAGAATTTTTTTGTTTGATTTTGATTTAACTTCAACCAAGTCTGCCGCACCACCTAGCGATTTAAAAAAAAGAAGGGGAAGAAGAAGAAGAAGAAGAAAAGAAGGAAGAAGAGGAGAAGAAAATAAAAACTTACCTTCGCTGATTGCCACCGCTCGCCGGTGCCGGAATTGGGGAGAAAATTCATCAAAGCTTTTTAAACCGCCGGAAATGGAGAATTGGAGAAAAGTAGATGGGGAGGAGGAGATGAAAAGAGAGAGAGAGAAGGGAGAAGATCGAAGCCAGCAGGTTGCGTCAAAACATAGAGAAAGCAGAGTTATTGGGTGAGAAAAGAAGATAGATCTGACAGAAAGATAAGTAAAGTAATTTAATTAATTTACTAAGAAGGGTATAATGGACCACTGAAACGGACCGGGTAGTTAAGAGCTCCTATTGAGGGAATAAATCAATTGGAACTCCTAATTTAGAATTTTATCAATGTTTTACTCCCATTTATGACAATTACTTTATATATTTCTACTACCTTATAGATCCACAACATCCAGGTCATATAGCATATATGAAGTCCTATTTCTTAACTCCCTCTTACATATATCCAGTTTTTTTGTATAAAAGACACAAAAGAATAGCAAGTCAACAAATTGAAGTACATCACGTTTGATCGTTAAATGAGGAGACTAGTTCAATTTTAGAGAAAAAGTTCCAAAGGAAAATGAAAATTAATAATCCAACCTTTTAGCGATCTTCTTTCAATAATCACACCTTTTGATTATTCATGAATAATCCAACCTTTGCACCTCATCTTCATTCATTGGTCTCTGGTCGGTTAATGACCTATTATTCCAAGTTATTTTCTTATCTTTGCAAAATATTATCTTTGTGAAAGATGAGATTTATGGTATAATGATTTGCAAAGATAAGAAAATAGTTTGGAATAGCAGGTCATCAACCGGGCAGGGACCAGTGAATGAAGATGAGGTGCAAAGGTTGAATTATTCATGAATAGCCAAAAAGTTGGATTATTGTAAGAAGACCGCTAAAAGGTTGGATTATTAGTTTCCATTTTCCCTATATTAAAAGGAATGTCAAATTCCAAAAGATAAAATACACTTCAATAGGTTACAATTATATGTTTAGAACATCGAACTAAATATTTTGTCAATTTACTCGGAATTGCCGGATTGCCCTACACAATTGAGTATCATCACTCAGACTGAGCTGAGTCTGGAAGCTATGTTACACAAAAATGTGAGAATCTGGGAAATGAGAAATGGAAAATGACATTTTTTGGTAGAAAAACAACGATCGGAGAATTTCATAGGTTAATTCCCAAAATGGGACTAAATCAATGTTGAAATGCACAAATAGGACTCACATAGTTTATAGGATAAAAAATGAACTGATTAGACACAATTGCCCTTAATGAAATTACAGGTCAAATAAAAAAAATAAAACCCTTCCCCCCAGCCACCTCATTCATCGATGCCTATAGCGTAAAACTCCAAACCGTCGACACCCTCAGCACCTTCCGTGCAGGCCGGCACGACCGCCGCTGTCGAGACCGTTGCCGCAGCCAAGTGAGAATGACGCCACTGTCGCCGCCAAAATTGCCGCAGCACACCTCCGGTGAGGTGACTTAATTACTCGTCCTCTAGGGGAGAATGGTGCCACCGCTAAGTCCTTTATGGAGATGCTGACATCTTCTTAACCACAGCTACCTCCTGCGGAGTGTATGGTATCAATTTAAGGCAAAACTACAATTATGATAACAATAATGACAAAAAAATGGCATTTCTATATGTAAAAACATGGAATTTTCAGATTACAAATAATGACATTTTCACATTTTGGAGTTGAAAATGTGAAATAGGAGAAGAAAAAGGAAGTAGTGTTGACGATGAATTCAGTTCAATGACATAAAAATGCCATCATTTGTGAAAATGCCAAAAATATGGCATTTTAGAACTTGTAATATTTCCATCTCCATAAACAAATGCGCCATAAATGTGGCAATTTTTACAAATTGATAAAGATACATTATAATAAAATTTAGATCTGAAAGTTTTTGAACAAGAGCCTCAACTTTTGAACAAGAGCCTCAACTTTTCATTCCCAAAGGTTTCAAATTCCAAATTTCCATTTAGAATTGAAAAAAAAATTGAATAAAATAACAGAAAATTATAATAAAAGAAACATGAACAAAATTTGTTATCACATTATAATGTCTTACTGTGCTTTAGAAAATAAAAAATTTGTTATCACATTATTCCACCATTATCTTTGACGTACTCAACAACAAAACAACACAAAATTTTCTCTGCTTTACTTTTTTTTACAGTCTCTTACTTGGATTTTTATCCTTTGAAGATTTATCAAAAGATTTTTTTTCGGTCTCTTAAGATTCTTTGAAAAAAAATCACCATCAATGTTGAAAGAGTGTGATTTGGAACAAACTATTTTGCTATGTTTTTTTCTCTACGTATTACCCATTAGAAGGCACTCAATAGAAATACAATAGCAACAATAACTGAGATTCTTTACTCTGAAAAAAGTGCCAGCTTCAATTGATCTTAATGAAGATATAGTGTGCTGTTGATTTGAACTATTTTTCTTTGATTTTAATCTGCACATTACTAATTATAAGCCTTATAATTAAGATTGTAATCTGCACATTACTAATTATAAGCCTTATATTAGCTCGCACCTCCCTAATCTGATCGTAAAATCGTACGATCCTGCGAGTTGGATCGCGATCTTAACAACATTGTTATAAGGTACTCATTAGACTTGCAAAAGGAATGATAACTTTTATCATCTGGGACCTTCATGACATCTGTTTTGTTCTTCCCTTCTTTTATATAAGTAGGCAGTTAGGAATTCGCTTTGTGTGTTTATTTTACTTTTATCAAGGTTGTGCTGTATAGTGCTATTATATAACCTTCCTTTGAAATTCTATTGATAATTTGTGTTGCTTCAAGCAGTGTAGTAGAGTTGTATTTTCGAAAATGACCGTGACTCCTATAAACAATTGTTTCTCATTGGTGACATGCATTTCGAATCTAAGGACTACATTTTTTTCAAAAGCGTGATGCAGTGCCAATAAGATGGTGCTAGGGGTGGTTCGGTACGGTATACCTTATATTTTTTCTCATACCTTTGCCATACCAAAACTTTCGGTATGCAAAATTTGCATACCTTTACCTTACCGAAGTTTCGGTATACCGCATTTCGGTATACCGAAGTTTCGGTTCGGTAACGGTACGGTATCAGTAAGTTACCGTGCATGTCTCCCAATACAAAAATTATCATAGACTAACGAAATATACTAAATCATTATTACTAGTGACTTGTTAAATCTATTATTAAAATGTTACGAAATACAATTAATAATCTATTGATGTCAATTCAATATTGAACAATAATTATTATTATCAGTATATTTAAGCAGTTCAACATTCCGCATATTAAAAAGTAACACATTCTCCTAAAATAACTTGAACAATATAGATATAATTAAATCAATAGTGATCTCTAACAAAAATAAATAAAACTATTCAAACAACATGGATATAAAATCATTTATTCCTAATATGATATTGTGTATTTAGTCATTTTTATAATTTTTTAAAATTTGTATAAGACTTTCGGACAAAGTTGTGTGTCTCGACTCGCGGAATCCCTATGTAGATACATTTGTCACATAAGTGCATCTCTCTTCACTTGTCAGCTACTTAGCGGCCCAACCATCACGACTTGCAAGATCTTGGAACAAGATGGACTTGTTTCTTGACATTTGCACATTAGTCATTAGTCATTAAGGTTAGCGTAGTAGAAGCCTATAAGGTTATAGTGGGTTTGAGAAATTGGGCCTTTATTTTTGTATTTGTAACCAACTTAAGTATTAATTTTGGACCCTCGAAAAAAAAGTATTAATTTTGGGCTTCAAAATTGTAATGGATTCCTACAATATATTAGAATTAAAAGTAATTGTTGAGTAGGGAGTCGGTACGGTATTATACCGGTATACCGCGGTATTTGAAAACATTTACCGTTACCGCACCGATCTATTTCGGTACGGTATGATACCGTACCAAAAATGACAGTATACCAATATTTCGGTATTTTCCGGTATTTTTCGGTACGGTAAGTGCGGTATACCGATATTTCGGTATTTTTGCCCACCCCTAGATGGTGCTTATAATGATGTCATTTTCTACTTTTTTTTTCAAAAAGTCTAGTTGTACACACTCTAATACACACCCTATACACACTATATATACCTCCAAATTTTTTTACCCCTTCCATCTCTTTTTCCTCTTCCCTCACTTCTCCCTCCTCTCTCCCCTCTCCCCTCCCCTCCCTTTCTGCGCACACTTCCTCTCCCCCTTCCTTCTACGCGGTTTCTTTTTTCTTTTCTCTTCATTTTCAAAATCTTTTTCAATTCACCATCAATTATCAACTCACAAAAATTATGGGAGTCTCTTCCTTCCCACATAATCCAATCACTTGTCTCAAAACTTTGAATCTTGAGGTAGTAATTAATTTCAGTTTTTTTGCTTTTAGGATTATAATTTTACCCTCTTTTCAGATTCTTATGTATCTTCTAATTTTGAAACTTGAAAGCAAAGATTTTAGTATGATGTTGAAGGATTGATTATTTTGTTCCAATGTTATGGGTTGGTGATGTTAAGTTTTGAAATATTTTAGGGGGTAATTTTCTGCCAGAATATATATACCTAGAATTTTAGGGGGTAATTTTCTGCCAACTATTTCCTCCGTGACTTAGTTGGCATCTTGATTAAAATGTTCTGCGACTTCTCTCCCTGATTTCCTCCGTGCTTCTCTTTATTCTTCTTCTTCTTTTGTTTCTTCTTGCACCAACACAAACAAAGTGACAGTGGATTTTCGTAGCTCAAACCAGAAGCTCCCATCAACCACCCATAATATTGAGGTAATGATTTAATTCGATTTTTCTTTGTACATTTTATGGTTACTTTTAATTAAAATTTCCAATTTTTTGTATATCATGTATTTTATAAGGCTTATTAGTTGAATAATATGTATTATTGTTAGAGAATGTAGTGTTAGTTATTGAAGTTTTAATTCAATTACTCTATTTCACATTTATGCTTATAACATGTTTGTTGAAATGACTCAATGAATATTTTTGTTAAAATTCAAGACTTTTACTTTCCTTTTTTGCTAATTAGTTCAAGATTCTAACTTTCTTGTTTCCCAACTTAAATAATGTTATACGGAGTATGTTTTTATTGACTAATTTATTTGATTAGCATGCTTTTGCTATTTTAAGTAAATTATGTGGAGTATATGTTATATTGAATTACATTGATATAGGTTTGTTCAGAACCTAGTTCGTTCAATAAACCTGTTTTTATGTTTTTAAGTGTTTTAAGTTGGTTTATGAATTATTTTGTGAGGTTGGTTTTTAGGTTTACTAGTTTTTGCTTGAAGCACTTTTTTACTGCTCATTTATAAATGGATATATTTTTACAGTGATGAGGAGGATGGTGAAATCAAATGTCTTTATGAAATAGACGCTCAATCATGTTTGATGAGTGACTGTCATTAATATATTATTGCATTTCTATACTTTGCTAGTAATTATGAACTCTTGAAGCCTAGTTGTGGTCTTTGGATATGGTTCTTACACTATATGACATCTTAGTGTATGTTATTTAGAGCGAAATGCTAATATGTGATTTATTGTTTCCATACTCAGAATGCTTTTTCACTTCTTCTGGAGGCTTAAGGAGCTATGTGCACCCCTAAATGAGCTGAAAGTTGTGCCGCAGGTGGATAGGTCGGGTGAGATGTATTGTGACACCTTCAAAGTTGACTCAGAGTCCTAGAAAGAGAGTACCATCATTTTTAGAGTTGGGAGTACTAGTGCATCCCCCAAAATTCTCCTTTCATTTCTCCATTTCTCCAATTGTCCTAAACTGAAACTGAGTTTTGTGCTGAATTGTAGCAAGACGCTTCATGTGAAAGCCATTTCCGACCTTTAATACTTTTTATACTTGAAAGTTAGTTTCCATCAATATGTATTTGGTAATTTGATGCGTGTTTTCTCGCACTTAAAATAGATCGTAGTATAGGGTGTAAGTACGAGTATCGTCTCCACAGGGACGGACAAAAGGGTATTAAGAATTAATTAAATTCAGCGATTAAAAATAAATAAATAAAAATGCGTCGTGCGATATATGATTGGTATGAAAATTAAACTAATGCGAATGAGCAATTAAAATAAAAGATTGGTTTCTCTCTAATTAATGACGAAGGGAACAGGGATTGATTTCGGGGTAACCAGATTTCTGACAGAACATGCCTAATTACATGAAATTAATTTAATTGAGCCTAGCTAATCATTACTAAGTTCTTACCGCTCTCGCGGTGTAGAGTACAATAATTTAGGGGACCAGGCTGATCTCTCATGCGACAGGATCCTAAATTATTACCAAAACGAGCGAGCTTACGGCCCCTTAATCGCTACTAATCTCTTAGCGAACGATTAAGTGTGTGTGAAGGTGTCCTAGAATAAACTAGATCTCTCTTAATTTATTCTACAAGCAATTGTAATTCTAGCGCGCGTTCTAGGTTACAAAAGATATCAGTTAAATTATTCAAACACAAATTAAACGGCATTCATGCAATTAATCCATCAAGAAACTAGCCATACATCATGATCAACCCCTTCATCAATCCCAATCCCTAATTAAACTACTCACAATTCATAATTGAAGAATCAATAGAATTGGGAAGAATAGAATTAATTGTCATTAATTAAAAAGGTGGAACTTACAAAGAATCCCAAAAGATTGATGAACAAGGCTGAAAAGCCCTCTAAAATTCGTGCTAGGCACTCTCTCTAAGCTCCCCCTTGAAAACGGGGGTTCACAGACTGTTTAAATAGAAAAATCGGGTGAAATTTGAGTTGAATTAGGATTTTCGGAGCCAGGCACGATTTGGTTATATCTAAAATGTCCATATTTGGTAATTATTTTATGTCTTCATTTATATTATCTCTGCGTGATTAAAAAAATATGGTAGATTCTACGGCACCCCAAATGTACCGTACCTTTGTCCAAATGGACCAATAAGAATGATGCAGTTGAATTATTTAAATCTAAATTAAAAAGCATATAATGATTTGAACCAATCAAATGCATGATAGGTACGGTACCCCCATTTTTTAATGGGTACCGGAGTTGTCACCAAAAATTATTTGTGTGTTTATTTATTTTGTCTGTGTGTAGACAATCATTGTTTGTGTGGTTTTATTTTGTTTGTCAATAGTCGAAATATCGCCTGTCTGCATTTATATTGTCTATGTCTGGTTAAATTATTTTTTATATGTTCATTTATTTTGTATGTAGAATTATTTTGTTTGCACTTCGTCAAAACATCATTTATGTCTTCACTTTATTGTCTGTGAACGGTTAACATATCGTTTGTTTGTTTGTTCATTTATTTTGTCTGGATATAAATAATAATTGTTTGTGTGTTCATTTATTTTGCCCCAACGTAGACAAATTATCTACAACACGTCACCAAAATGAGTATGAATAACAATTTTGTTTTTTAATGAACTTAAAAATGTACTAAAAGCATAATTTCAATTCCTTGGACTAAATCGAAAGTCATTCTCTGAATACACAAGATACACTATGAAAATACAAATTATTCAAGTTTAATTAAAGTCAAAATAAAAGTGAAATACAAACACTCAATATACACTCCAACATTATAAACAAATTACATAATATAAAGTTTACATATTACAATTATTTTTTACCCGCAAACGAAATAAATCAACACACTAACAACGTTTTGACCACACACAGACAATCTAAATAAACACACAAACAATTATATTATATGCTACACAGACAAAATAAACGAACACAAAATCAATGTTTTAGCCATGCATAAACAATATAAACGAAAACACGGACAATAATTTTTCTACACATGCAAAATAAAAACATACACAGAATATTTTAACCACACACAAACAATTACTTTACACGAACAAAATAAAAGAACAAAATGACAATTCTTAAATCACAAGTACACATTGTCATATGGACATTTCAGATAAAATTATTAAATACATATTCATCAATAAGATAACATATTGAATACATATTCTCTTTTCTGCTTATAGGTAAATATCAATTGTCAATCCCTCAATGAATCAAAATAAGAGTTCTTCTATTTAAATCAGGTTCAAGCTGATGTTGGTGGTACCGAGAGCAATGACTGAACTTCAATGGTCATGCAAATGTATAAATTATGTTGCATCAAGGCCTAGTCCAACCCATTACTTGTGTCCCATACCTCATAGTACTTGAGACAGATCCAAAAGAGCAAAATTCAAAGCTGGAACATCATGTATTGATAAACATCTACCCACATACACAAAAGTCTTCCAGAATCTTGATCAAACAGCAAAACATTAACTGGGCGGACTTGCAGTGTGTTCAGATCCTTCCTAAAAATTAAACCAATGTTAACCTCATTCCAAACATATCTTGTCACCTATTTGATTCAAAGTATAGTTGGCTTCAATAATTCATTTAACATATTTACATGGATTCATCCATGTATAATAAACTACAAAATAAACTACCATAAACATAATAATCAAATAAACCAATAAATAAAAATAATTATGTCATTATTTTAATTGGGAAACAAGTACATTAGAATGTTGAACTAATTAATAGGAAATTTTAGTGAAAGTCTTGGATTTAAACAAAAAACCATTGAGTCATTTTAACAAACATGTTATGAGCATAAATGAGAAGTGGAGTGATTGAACTAACATTTCAAGAACAAAGACTACATTCTCTTACCATAATACAAAATACTCAACTATTCAATGCTATATCATACATAATATACAAAAAACCTTGAAATTTAAATAAATGTAACCCTAAAATGCACATAGAAAAATCGAATTAGATTATCACGTCAATATTACAGGTTGTTGTTCGCAGCTTCTTTTTTGAGCTGCCAAAACCCACTGTCCCATCCTCGTCGATCGTCTACACAGATTCCAGCTGTAACCACGCCACCGTTCTTGAACTCGGACTTAAGGATGATCGATTAAAGGGCTGCAAGGGAAAATGGATATTAGAGAGGCGATGATAGCTTAAACGGTCGACTGTTTGTTTGTGTTGGTGCAAGAAGAAACAAAATAAGAAGAATGAAGAAAGGGGAATCAAAATAAAAAGAAGAAACAGAGAAGATCAGGGAGAGAGGTCGCAGAAGAAAGAAAAGAAGTAAGGGTGAAAGAGAGAAGGGGTAAAAGAAAGAAAAGAATGGGAAAGGGGGTAATTTTTTTAGGTATATATAGTGGGTATAGATGTGTGTACTAATGTGTGTACAAAGAGCAAAACTCTTTTTTTTTTGACGTCATATGTAGAGAGGAGAGTGCCTAAGGGGATAATAGTTCATATATGACCCATGTTTTAAATTTATCTACACAGTTCTAAAAATGATCTGACGCTTTACATCTTCTTCACTCATCTCTTTCTTTTGTAATTCTATTGTCTGTTGATTTCTTTCTACCTTCTTCCACTCATCTTCTCCACCGATCTTTGTCTTCCGATATATAAACCATAGGCAGGCTAATCAATGTTCGATGGAGTTTTGCTGCAAGGGGCTCAAGGAGAAGCAGGCCGGTGGTTGCCGGAATGAAACATCACCGTCACATCCGCCAGCGTCTTCAAGATGTTGGACGCCAAGGCTATTTGAAGGTGATTATTTGAATTTAGTCAATTTCCAGTCCTATTATAACAGATTCTTTAATTTTAAAGCTGATTAATAAAAATAATAGCTCATTTAAATCACGATTAGTGCCCAACAAATCAACCTCCAGTGTAATTTTTTCCCGATTAAACAATATTTTAGTTGTCAAAACATCTTGGGTGGTTGGAAACCTTAGGTACAACAAACTGAAGGTATCAAATGTACATCTCAAAAAGGGATTTAGTGCATTCTTAAATTATATTTCTGCTGTTGTAAAGTGAAGCATTGCATCTGTAGTTTTATTATTTGATACTATAACCTTCACTGCCCTTGAGTGGTACTTTAGAAATTTGATATAGAGAATGAATCATGTAAACTGAACCTAAACATCAGTATTGTATTATGTTCTTTAAGTAAGAAATCTGAATAAACTGAACATGAGATTCTAAATGTTTTTCGAACAGAGATTGTTTCTCATGCAGCAACAGGTAATATAGAACTATGGTACATGCATGTTAATGTATAACATGTTTCTCTGTTATACTACCTCCAGTTCATATTAATATAGTGCTATTACATAACTGAGACTAAATTGATGATAATGTCAATAAGTTTTAGTTATTAGAACTTTACACACTTAGGAACTACTCTACCAGTTCTATTCAACCAAAAAAACTAAATTTGAATAAGATACAAATTTGATTAATAAAACTACATATTAAAGAGTTGGCCAGTTGGGTGACCCCATTAGTAATGGGTAAGAAAAGCATTATGAAACTGATGGAGTATGTAACTTTCTATTTGTATATAATTGACAAGGTTGTGAATGGCGGATTAAATCAACACGAGTTGGCTACTACAAATTTACTAAGGGTATACAATTCTTAACTTCATTTATCATTCTATACTAAGCATCTTTTTCAAATTTATAGTATAATTGTGCAAAATATACATTCCAAATAGTATGCATATTCATTTAAGTACACAATGTTTAATTAGGGGTTTCATTAAATCAATGGAATTGAAAGATGTATGAAAATGCAGCACAAAGCAGTTTTTTTCTCTCTATTTTCCACTTCTTAAGGGGTTTATGTGATCAAATATATAATTGAGAGCCTTCTTTGATTACATGGATGCAAATAAATTAGCCATTTGTTAAAGTTAAGCTTTTCCATTTTTTTCCTTCTAATTTTTGCACTCAAGAGCACATACTATTTTAGGTTGGTTGATCATTTTTATATGAGTTCAACATTTTACTATTATGATCGAATATACAGTTAATTTTTGCACTTAAGAGCACATACTATATGAGCAATTGTGATTAACTAACGTATTTAAACAAGAATAGGAGTTCAACTCATGGGATTTTAGCATTTTACTGTCCCAATATGAATAACATTGCTTTTTTATAAATGAGTTTTTTTGCAAAGTTTCAGCTAATA